AGGGAACTTTTTAAGCGGGTTCCACTGTAGTACAATTTTTATTACAGCAACATTGACATCACAGACTTCAAGAATTTTTGTCTGAAATCCAAATAATGGATAAATAATCCATGATTCAATTTATCTTAATTGCTCTGATTAAACAAAATTCTATTTTGCTCTTGAGTTTTAAAATTACATATAGAAATATTTTTAACTTAAATATAAAAATTTAAACTACCTACCTATAATTATTAAATATCAGGACTAGCTTACTACAAGAATGTAACTTATGGTTTTTAACCTTGAAAAACTAATGTTAGCAAATGAATGGTTTTAATTATATTGTAAAAAAATTTATCATGGTGCAATATACCCCAATGATTTTTTTTTTTAATATAGAAATAGATGTCTGATTTTATTTTATGTTTAGTAAAGGTGACAGTTAACCAACATAATAGCCAATATTTGTTTCAATCTTGAAGTTGCTTTCTACATTCTTTTAAAGACAGAGATTTTCTTCCTCGCACACCAACAAGTCAAACTCATTGCGATGATTGAAGCAATTGTTTATATTGAAAACAAAACAGTCAACAGACTCTGCCAATCAGGAAGCTGAATGAGTTTCATTAAATCTACTGTCTAACTTGTATTATATTTATATGTTATTTTATAAATCACTTTATTATTTATGTTTGTGTCATTATCTATATTATCTCATAAAGCCATTTTTTAAAAAAAAAAAATTATTATTTTTCTTTTCAGGCTTATATAACCAGCTACTCTTCTCTAATCGAAAAGATATCAGATTACTGGATTATGATACAAGAAGAAAAAATTCATCTCGCATACTCATTAAAGACTTAGATGATGTGAATTTTATCGATTATTACTTTGAAAATCGAACTATTTTTTGGGCTGATGCCGGATTAGAGGAAATTAGAAGCAGACAAATCAATGATCCTGAATCTGATCGAAGCATAATATCTACAGGATTGATTTCACCTGATGGCTTAGCTGTGGATTGGCTTGGGAAAAAATTATACTGGACTGATTCTGAAACAAATAGAATAGAACTTAGTAATCTTGATGGAAACTTTCGAAAAGTTTTATTTTGGAAGGACCTTGACCAGCCTAGAGCCATTGCTCTTGTTCCTATGGATGGGTAAATAGTGTTATACTATGTATATTTTTATATTTTCTTACTTTAACTTTTTCTTTTTGGAAATTTTTTGTTCAAATAAGGTTATCTTATACTTAGTTTTATCTAGTTAGAAAATTTTACTGTGGTCATGAATTAGTTTTTTACCCCACTACGCATTTAGACCTGATTTTTTTCATTCTTTTCTTTTACAAGGAAAAGAAGCATAATGTAGGTTGTAGAAAATTTAATTCAATTTTTTTTTCTAATTACACAAATATGGCTTTTAAATCACATGAATATGAAACTCTATATTGAATTTCTAATTCGATACCGGACTGAATTTCCAAAAAAAGCGGAATATTTATTTTAAAAAATCGAAACTTTTAGAGAAGCATAGTTTTTGATAAAAAGGCTGAAGTTCGCTCATCCCTGATGATTTATTGTTTTGATTGTTCCATAATGAAATTTTATTGTAAGACTTGTATTTGTTTGTATACAGTTATTTTCGAAGTATTTTATGTTTATATAAATTAATTTCAGGTGGATATTTTGGACAGACTGGGGAGAAACACCTAAAATTGAAAAGGCTAGCATGGATGGTAACCAACTCACAAGAAAAGTTATAGTGCAAGATGAAAACAACTGTGTGTCTATATGTTGGCCTAACGGTTTAGCTGTTGATTATGACAATAAAAGGCAAGTCACAGTTACAATATTATATTTGAATATGTTTTTAAATTTAGTATCAGTTTATTGAACTGTTATATGTTCCATTTAAAAAAAAATATTAGAATTTTTGATTTAAACATATGAGATTTTTTAGGGGGAAAAGGAATCGTTGAAGTTTAAATATGAAGTTTATTTAAGTTTTTTCTGTTATGAAAAATTTTCTTAATTGATGTATGAATTATAAATACTTATTATTTTATTTATTTTTAGAATCTATTGGACGGATGCAAAAATAAAAACCATTGAAAGTGCAGATTTTGATGGTAATCTTAGGCAAAGAATCACTAAAGAAGCAGTTCCCCATCCTTATGCTATCAGTCTCCATCGTGATACTCTTTATTGGACTGACTGGTCAACCAAAGCTGTTCATTCTTGTAGCATCTTAACTGGGTGTGTTAAGAGAACAACTTTTGGGGGATATTTTACACCTATGGGTCTTCAAGTTTATCATAAAGATAGACAGCCTATAGGTAATGGCTTTAAGCCAATGTATTTTAAATATTACACTAATTTTACCTTTTCACTAATCTAGTACATATATTTAAATAGAGTGATTGATTTAATTAAAAGCTTGGAAAAGAAATATAACTTTGAATAAATTTCAACTTTATAAGTCTAGATCTTTAACTAGTTGTTTGATTTAATTTTTTTAGTTTGCCTATGTTGGTTTTTCATAATTTACTATATGTTGGTTTTTCATTAATTTGGTTTTTCATAATAATACTTTTTTTTGGTTTTTCATAATTTTTGTACATAAATGTGGTCTTATATATAGTCCTACACCGCTACCGCTATAATGAAGCTGCTTTATCTCTCACAAACTTGCTTTTTAAACTAGGACAAACAAGTAGCACATTCCTCTTCTTACTCTATCCCCCTTATACTGAACAAGAACAAAAAGCTTTTGCCAACTTTTATATCAAAAGTGAAATGGCATTGATCTGAAGACTAGAAAATACTGCATTCTTTACAAATTATTGATAGAAATTGGTGACCTCAACATAAAAAAATCAAATTGTAGTTTGTCAAAAATCCCTAATTTATTCCATAAATTATAAAAGTTAACTATTTTTTTTTTACTATTCGATTCATTATCTATGAATATTAATCAGTTAAAACTTTATAAGTTATATGACTAAAACTTATAGGTACTATCATAACTACTTCCCACAATATTTTCATATGCTAAAAAATAATTTTTCCTGGAATTTAGATTTATTAAATGACAGTATATAGCTGACATATTACCGAGTCTATAAACAGTTACTATGACGGGGTTCGGTTGTACTAGTGAATCAACTTTGAAATTTAATATGAATACATTTGTACATTTTTTTTCTCTTTTACTTTCTCTATTTTTCTGTAATTTTGCAACTAAGCTTTTATTTAAGGACTTGCATTCTAAATTTTTAGCTCAAACCCCTTGTGATGAAAACAATGGGGGATGCTCCCACCTGTGTTTACTATCTGCAATTGAACCCTATTATTCCTGTGCTTGTCCAACTGGGGTGAGGTTAAATTCTGATGGAAAGTCTTGCAAAAATGGTATGGTTTTATAAGTTTTTGTTGATGTTTTGTTTTAACTGACCCTTTTTTTCCTTCATAATAGTATTCTAAAGTTACGAAATAGTTACAAAAGCAATTCTTTGTGAAAAAAATTAAATTTCATTTAAAACAAGGTTTAAAAATCTAATGGTAAATCTTTATGTATGTTTTAGTGTGACATTGGTGCACTAATCTGACATTGAAACAAGTGTGGGATTTTATAAATAAAACTTGACTGTTTGTAATTCTTAAATGTTTTTAATGAAATATAATAGTATCATGTTCAGTATTAGTTAATCTTTTTTTTTTTTACTTCTTATTTTATGATATTATTACTACCATTTAAATTAATATATCAGATTTTTTAATTGAAAATCTAAAATTTAGCAATTTTATCTTTAATGTCATATTTTTTTAAACATTTGTGAACATATTAAATTATGTATTTTTTGTTACATGGTTAGTGTAATATCATACTAAATAATTAAATTGTATTATTATTTTTAGTTTTAAATAATGTTGTTTTTCATGTCTTTTTTCATCATATTTTAGTCCATCTTTTTTTTTTCTTTGTAAGCTTTCAAAATTCTTTTTTAATTATTGCATATCATATGTAATTATATTAATGTCTGCTGGTTCTTTTTAGAAATTAAGTTGAAAAAAAAATTTTTGCCTGTTTATTTTAGGCCCGCAAGAGCTTCTTTTACTTGTTAAAAGGACTGATTTGCGAAGGATTTCCTTAGATACTCCTGATTATACAGATGTTGTTTTAGAAATTGATGGTCTTAAACACGCTATTGCTATTGATTATGATCCTGTTGAGCAAAAAATATACTGGACTGATGATGAAGCAAGAGTTATAAGAAGAGCAGAGCTAAATGGGACGGGTAAATATGTTATATATTCTAGTGATATAGTAGGTATAGGGTATAGCAATTTGATGGATTTCCAGATTTATAAAAGTTGAGACTACTTTAAATTTTATAACTGCATGTATTTAAACAGTGATCTCATTTACATGCTCTAACATGTCATTTGTACGAATTTTTTTTTTTTTTTTAATTTAAAATTAATTTGCAGAAAATTAGCTATTGCACATGCCCTATTATGCAAATTTGCAGCCTGCAAAAAAATAGTTTCAACAGGTTTGCGTAAATAAAATTGTAATTGAACTTTTAAATATATATTGAAAAAAATATTTTTCTTTGTTCATTATTGATAGCTTAAAGAGAAAATTTTGAATAATTCTGTGTATCAAACTACATTGTTGCTTTTCATTCATACAGGCATTTGATTAGTCCTAATTAACCTTCTGAGCGTTAGTCCCGGCTTTTTACGAACTCTTAACTGCAAGTATTCCTGCATTATGAAACCAGATTCCGCCAATGGAAGACTAGTTCGTAGCTATGACAATTTTACCCAGGGGCTCAATGCTTGGAGAGTAAAAGCCTTGATCTTCCAAATATAATTCTTCTTGTTCATTTATAAATAGATAGAATAATTATTACTGCTAATATAATAAAGAAATGAAGATACATATTTTAAATAGGAACTTTCTTTTGGTAAAAAGTGTGCTTGAAATATGGAAATCCGTAGTTTCCAAAGTTTAGCAAAATCGTTGATTAAATGTGTTGTTTGTGCGCCACATATTTAATAGTCCTGAATAATTAAGCTTAAATTTATTCTTCAGTTATTTTTTATAAATACATGCTATATTAACTTCAAGTTTACTTGCAGTTAAAACAATTTATTAGGAACCTCATGTTGCTTTGTTGAACAAGAAATTAACATTGTTAATTTTTAATTAGGATGTGAGGACCTGGTTTCAGCTGAAGTTCATCATCCTGATGGAATTGCTATTGATTGGATTGCACGTAATATGTACTGGACTGATACGGGAACTGACCGTATTGAGGTGGCAAGACTGAATGGTACATCAAGAAAAATTCTTATTACTGAGAATTTGCATGAACCCAGAGCAATCATAGTGGATCCACCTGAAGGGTAAGCCAATTTACTTTTCTTTCTTTTTTTGTCCTTATTTTGGGATTACTTTCAATTGCTTTTCTCCCTGATTTAAAACTTGTGACATCATTCTGTATCAAATAATGTATTGTTTAAAATCTGTGCAGCTTATAGATAGCTATGAGTAGAGATAAGAGGAGTTTAGCCAAAGAGCGTAGGCCCGACATATGCTCGTATTCATTAGCTTGAAGAAATCTTGAGCTCAATAAAATTTCATGAAAATTCAAACTACTTCATAGCTAAACAAATGTACAAATTTCCTTTCTGTTCAATTATTAAATGTTAAATAAGCAAAAATGAGTAAGCATAGAAAATTAATATCATGCCTCTTGATCCACAAATAATTAATCTTAATAATATATTTTAATTAACTTTTTTTTTCTTCCAATTTCGACTTTATATTGGACTTTATCTGACTCATTAAATTAATATACTGGGGCTCAGTTTTAGTCTTCAGGGTCAGTTTTCTAAAAGTGAGTCCAACTCATCTCTACAAAGAGGTTGCAGTGCCCTCTTAAGAGGACGCAATACCTACCCTCTCAA